GCCAGGGATACATAGTGAGATACTGTATCAAAAATAAATAAGTAAATTTTCAAATAAAGTGGAAAGAAACCTCTGTGTGACTTAGACTCCAGTTAAGTTGGTTGTTTTGAGACAGGTCTTCCTATACAACCAAGACTGGCTTGGAACCCATGAGTCTCCTGCCTTCAAGCCTCCCAGCTTGGAATGGCTCTCTGTCTAGTCAGCGTTCTCTAGAGGAACAAAACCAATATAATGACTATCTATATTTTTGGGTGTTGTTTTTTTTTTTCGAGACAGAGTTTCTCTGTAGCTTTGGAGCTTGTCCTGGAACTAGCTCTTTGTAGACCAGGCACAGAGATCCTTCTGCCTCTGCCTCCCAAGTGCTGGGATTAAAGGCATGCACCACCACCACCTGGCTGACTATCTATATTTATAAGAAATTTAATGTACAGTAAAGAATTTGTGAAATAAGCTTATACTGGAATAGTAACAGCAGCTGTCTCACACCTGAGAGGCTGAGAACCCCATAGCGGCTCCGCCCATGGAGCTGGATACCTCAGCAATCCCACTCTGGCACCCAAAACCAGAAGAGCTGCTGGTCCACAGTCAGTGATAGGAGTCTGGAAATGCTGGTTCTAATTCAGCCACGAAACAGCTGCAGCTACAACAACAGAGAAAATTAGCTCAGCGACACAAAGAAGACCAACTGCGCCAACGGCAAATAATCTTCCTTCTGGGTGGAGTGGGGTTCCCCACAACAATGAAGGCAATCAGGACAGTGCCTAGGTGAGCCCCCCCTCTCAGGTGACTCTAATTTGGGGCATGTTGACATTAAAAGCAAGCATCACACCTTCACGTCTCCTTTATTAAAGGCTGTAAAAGAGATTCTTACACACTTGAGAGGATGGCCCATGCCTGTAACTCCAGAACTCAGAGCTGAGACAGGAGGATTGTGTGTTCTATGCCAACCTAAACTTCAAATTGAGACTGGGGTGTGTGTCCTACAGGTGTAGGATCTTAGCACTTTATTGAAAAAAGGTTTAAGAGGAATGATTTAGAGACCCTCTAGGAATTCTGAGGTTCACTTAATCTTTTGACAATGACCGAAGACATTGTCCTTGTCCCTCCAAATGCTGTGGTTCATTTATTTCTAATTATATCATGACTTGGAGATATATGACCATCCAAGCACTGGTGTTCCTGCTGAGGCAGTAAGATCATTTGAGTCCAAGGGTTCAAAACCAGCCTGGGCAACATAGCAAGACCCCACTTCAAAAATAACAATAGTGCTGGGTGTGGTGGCGCACACTTTTAATCCCAGCACTAGAGAGACAGAGGCAGGATCTCTGTGAATTCGAGGCCAGCCTGGTCCACAGAGTGAATTTCAGGACAGGCTCCAAAGCTACAGAGAAACCCTGTCTCAAGAACAAAACAAAAACAAAAAAATCAAAAAGAGATAAGATTTTTTAAAAATTTTAGGGAGGAGCACATGAAGTATAAAACAGGGAAAACTGACTTTGGTGGCTCACACCTGCAGTCCCAGGACTCAGAAAATTGAGGCAGAAGAATCACTGTAAGTTTAGTGCCAGCTTGGACTATAGAGTGAGCATGGATATATACACAAGCATACACATTCAGATACAGGGTTGTGTACAGGGTTAGCAAGAAGGCTCAGCAGGTAAGGGCATTTGCCACCAAGTCTGTCAACCTGAGTTCAAACGCCAGTCCATACAGGGTAGAAGGAGAAACAGACTCCCACAACTTTCCTCTGACCCCCACACGTGTGATATGCTGTGGCACATACATGTCCCACTCTCTAACACATAAATAAATGTAAAAGCAAAGTGGGTAGGGAATGTGGAGATGTCTCCATTGCTAGCATTTGCTGTGTAGTCACGCAGACCTAGGTTCCTGTCCCTGGGACTCATGGAAAAAGCCAGCTGCAGACACCGAGAGAAACAGAAGGAGCTCTGGGGCTGTCTGGCCAGCCGGCCTTGCTGAGTTCCAGGTTCAGTGACTTTCAAAAAAATTACGTAAAGAAAGATTGAGGGAGATACCTACTGCTGACCTTTGCTCCCTGCATACATATCTTCAACACAGAGAAACGCAGGAAAGATAATAGTGAGACTTTATTTATTTATTTGCTTATTTACTTTGAGACTGAGTCTCTCTCTGTAGACTAGGCTGGCCTCAAACTCACAGAGATCTGCCTGCCTCTGCCTCCCGAGTGCTGGGATTAGAGACAATTGCCACCATACCTAGCAAAACATTAAAATGAACCAGCCTGCCTCCATCTTGGGCTTAAAAGCCATCTTATATTAAAGACAAACTAGGTTCATTCTCATTTATGATTAAACCTTTGTTTCTCAAAGATTGGGCTATGCCCCCACCTGTAACCTTAACTACACTTGGCCGTGTACTGCCTGTTCGGGGAAACAGCAACCATCCCTCTGTTTCAAAAAGGTGTTAGCACTGAGACAATGGGGATGTTCTATCAGGAACTCACCAAGGCCAGCTGGACTGGGTCTGAAAAAACATGGACAAAACCGGACTTGTCGAACATAGCAGACAATGAGGACTACTGAGAAGTCAAGAACAATGGCACTGGGTTTTGTTTCTTTTTTCTTTTTTAATATCTATTTATTTATTATGTGTACAATATTCTGTCTGTGTGTCTGCCTGCAGGCCAGAAGAGGGCACCAGACCCTATTACAGATGGTTGTGAGCCACCATGTGGTTGCTGGGAATTGAACTTAGGACCTCTGGAAGAGCAGGCAATGCTCTTAACCGCTGAGCCATCTCTCCAGCCCTCTGGCACTGGGTTTTGATCCTACTGCACATACTGGCTTTGTGGGAGCCTAGGCTGTTTGGATGCTCACCTTACTAGACCTGGAAAGAGGTGGGAGGTCCTTGGACTTCCCACAGGGCAGGGAACCTTGACTGCTCTTTGGGCTGATGAGGGAGGGGGAGTTGATTGGGGTAAGGGGGGAAAATGGGAGGTGGTGGAGGGGAGGAGGCAGAAATCTTTTTTAAAAATATTTATTTATTTATTATGTATAGAATATTCTGTATGTGTGTATGCCTGCAGGCCAGAAGAGGGCACCAGACCTCATTACAGATGGTTGTGAGCCACCATGTGGTTGCTGGGAATTGAACTCAGGACCTTTGGAAGAGCAGGCAATGCTCTTAACCTCTGAGCCGTCTCTCCAGCCCAAGAAATCTTTAATAAATAAATAAATTTTTTCTTTTTTTTAAATTTATTTATTTATTATGTATACAATATTCTGTCTGTGTGTATGCCTGCAGGCCAGAAGAGGGCACCAGACCCCATTACAGATGGTTGTGAGCCACCATGTGGTTGCTGGGAATTGAACTCAGGACCTTTGGAAGAACAGGCAATGCTCTTAACCTCTGAGCCATCTCTCCAGCCCCATAAATAAATTTTTTAAAAAAAGGTGTTAGGACTACTTTTTTTTTTTTTTTTTTTTTTTTTGGTTTTTCGAGACAGGGTTTCTCTGTGGTTTTGGAGCCTGTCCTGGAACTATCTCTTGTAGACCAGGCTGGTCTCGAACTCACAGAGATCCGCCTGCCTCTGCCTCCCAAGTGCTGGGATTAAAGGCCTGCGCCACCACCGCCCGGCTAGGACTACTTTTTTATGCTTATGTTCTGCTCTTTGTTTGTTTTTCAAGATAGGGTTTCTCTGTGTAGCCCTGGCTGTCCTGGAACTCGGTCTGTAGACCAGGCTGGCCTCGAACTCACAGAGATCCGCCTGCCTCTGCCTCCCAAGTGCTAGGATTAAAGGAATGTGCCAACACCACTTCGTATATTCCGCTTCTATAACCCCACCATTTGGAAACCTCCTATCCCTGAGCTATAAAAACCCTTGTCTTAAAATGTTAGTCTCTCAAACCCCACTTTTAAGGGGAGACTGCCTGTGCATACGAATTTTTAAAAATTGCTTGCTTTAGTTAGCTTGGTCATGATGATTTGGGTCGGTGGTCTTTCTCCTTGAATCTTTGGAATTCTGGCAAGATGGCTGAACAGGTAAAGATGCTTGTGGTCAAAACCTGAGGCTGGAGAGGTGGCTCAGCAATTACAATTAAGAGCACTGACCGTTCTTCCAGAGAACCTACTCTGGTCAGCTCACACCCATTCATAACTCCAGTTCCAGGAGCTCTGACACTCTTCTGGCCTCCTGGGACACCAGGCACGCAAATGCAAACTTTGAAAATGGGAAGACCCAGCACTTGGGAAGCAGAGGCAGGCGGACCTCTGTGAGTTCAGGGCCAGCCTGGTCTACTTAGTTCCAGGCTAGCCAAGGGTACAGAATGAGACATTGTCTCAAAAACCAAACAACAAAACAAACAGAAAAGGGGGTAGGGGAGAATGAGAGTGGCTCGCTGTCACAAAGGGACAGGAGATGCTAGGTTACAGACAGGTGGAGAGGGGCAGGCATCAGTAGCGCCCTGCCAGGACATGCGACTAACCCTTTATTATGCCCATTGCAGTTGCTGCCAGGAGGCCAAGCGGGGCAGAGGGATGGAGAGAGGGACATGGATTCGTCTGTGGTTGCTATGGTGCTCCAGGCCAGATTTGCCCATCTCTGCTAATGGAGCAAAGGGTAGAGGAAGGAGGGAGGCAGAGCTCAGAGAACAACCGGTCTCCTCCCTTTCCCTCTTTTATCTCTGGAGCAGATGTGGGGTGTATGTGTCTGGAGTGGGGGTACTGGATCAGAGGTAGAGAAAAGGGTAGTATGCCCGGATTAAGAGGCTTTTGAGATGGGGGCGGGCAGACTGAGTGATGGGGGCAGGGCCATCCTACCTATATCCAGAAGCTAACCGATAATATTAGAGAAAGGGGGGGAAATAGGGTAGATGGTATTAGCATGAGAGAGAAGAGGGAGGGAGATAGGCAGGGAGGGATGGGTGGAGGGAGGGAGGAAGGGAGGGAGGGAGGAAGGGAGGGAGGGAGGGAGGGAGGGAGGGAAAGAGGTGTGGAGACAGACTATACAAGAGCCTCTGACTGCGTTCTTCTGAGCCACCCAAACCTCCAGGCAGCCTGGATTCCAGGGATAGGAGAGCTACTGAAGAATGGGCACCACAGCAGTGATCACACCTTCTCTTGTTTGGGGGCTGCTAAGTTGCTGTTTCCTCTGCAGCTGGGCTCTGGGGAGCCAATGGTCCTTCCGCTCTCTGCCTCCACTACCCTCTCAAGCCAAGGCAGGACCTGGGCCCACGTGGAAGCCCCCACAGGGGGCCAAAGCAGCCCTGGCTTTTCTCTACTCGGGAGACATTCAACAGCTGTCAGGGGCTAATTGTAGTGAGAGTTATGAAGTCCATGGAACAGAAGGCAGTGTGGGGATCCCCCCAGTCCTACAGAGAGCAGCGGGCACCCTGGCCCAGGCTGCCAATTTCCTCAACATGCTTCTACAAGCCAACGACATCCGGGAGTCGAGTGTGGAAGAGGACATTGAGTGGTACCAGGCACTTGTCCGAAGTGTGGCAGAGGGGGATCCAAAAGCCTACAGGGCTTTACTGACCTTTAACCCTCCACCAGGGGCCAGCCACCTTCAGCTGGCCCTGCAGGCCACCCGGATGGGGGATGAGACCATCCTCCGGGACCTCTCTGGGAACAAGGTACAGGAAGGAAATCCAGAAGAGGACCTGGACAGCCCTGCCCTGCAGAAGCGAGTACTGACCAATGACCTAAGGAGTCTTGAAAGCCCCAAGTGGCCACGGGGGGATGGGTACGTGGGGGACATACAGCAGGTGAAGCTGTCTCCTCCCTTCCTGGAATGCCACGAAGGCCAGCTCCGTCCTGGCTGGCTAGTCACAGTCTCAGCCACATTCTATGGTCTCAAGCCAGACCTCACCCCAGAAGTCAGGTAAGTGGGTTTGGGAAGGACTCGATGGATCTGTGAGGGTGAGGGGGACACGAGTCTACTGCACTGTGCACAGAACATGTGTCTGCAGGGGGCACAGGTGTGTGTGTGCATTCAGCTGTGCGTATTTATACTACTAACATTCTCGGGTGTTTGTGATGTTTATGAACCAGTCAATTTCTACATATGTATCTGAACATCTGTTTGTATGTCTTCACTTTATTTTACTTATTTATTTTGGTTTTTTGAGACAGGGTTTCTCTGTGTAGCATTGGCTCTCCTGGAACTCACTCTGTAGACCAGGCTGGCCTTGAACTCATAGAGATCCACCTGCCTCTGCTTCCCGAGTGCTGGAATTAAAAGTATGTGCCTCCATTGCCCAGCTTTAATTTTTTTCTTTTTTTCTTTTTGCTTTTTCAAGAAAGGGTTTCTTTGTGTTACAGACATAGCTGTCCTGGAACTCACTCTGTAGACCAGGCTGACCTCAAACTCACAGAGACCACCTGCCTCTGCCCCCTGAGTGCTGGGATTAAAGGCATGAGCCACCATCACCTGGCTTATTTTGTTTTCTAAGACAGTTTCTCATGTAGCCAAGGCTAACCTGGAATTCTGGTCCTCCTGCCTTTACTCTCCAAGTGTTGGGATGACAGGCATGTGCCTGGGTATCTCTTGATGTTGTTTATATGCTGAGGACAATGAGTGAGGAGACTTTCACTCTTGTGCAAACACAGGTATTAAACATGTGTATGTGGGTATGTGTGGTGCAGATGGGTGAGTATAGATGGGGCAGGTCTTGGCTCTCATGGCTCACAGGTCTGAGGTATAGACAGAAGAGATGAGAGAAACTGATAGTCAGGCAGTGGTGGTGCATGCCTTTAATCCCAACACTCAGGAGGCAGAGGCAGGTGGATCTCTGTGAGTTCGAGGCCAAACTGGTCTACAGAGCAAGTTCCAGGACAGCTAGAGCTACACAGAGATACCCTATCTCGAAAAACAAAACAAAACGAAAAGAGAAAGAGAGATAGAAAACTTAATGACAGTAATAATCCATATTCCTGACTTCTCAGAGGAACCACACGGACACTTCAGGAGGCTTCCCAGGACAGGGGCTTGGAACCAACATCCTTTTTGCACTGGAGTTGGCTGAGTCCCCAGTGTCACTCCCAGTGACCAGGCTCTTAGTGGAGCAGACCTGTTATCCTATCTCTCCTGCCACAGTACTTTGTGATATTCCTCAAAGAACTGGCTCTGCGCTCAGCTAGGGGGAAGCAGGAGCAAAGGAACACAGCGCAGCCAAGCATGCAGCAGCCAGCATTGCTTTCTCAGTTCTCTGCCCCCGTGCATTGTTCCCAGTAGGGCTCCCCCTCCTGTAAGCTGGCATCCTGGCTCCTTGCCAGAGCCCTCCCAATTCAGTCACAACAGAGCCCGTCCATTCTCGGACTCCTTCGCTGTGACTAGTTCAGACGTGGTTTGGGCAAAGGAAAGTAGTGGTAACCAGCGAGGCTGCATATGTTGTGTGTAAATGCAATGGGCAAGAGCGAAAAACATCCTTTCACGGTGATCACCCAAGCCCCGGGCTCCTGCGTGTCTTGACATGCCTTTCCCTTCTCCCCACTGATGAGAACCAGGAAATGATAAGATATGCTGACAAGTGAGGTGGGAAATACACTAGTGGGAGGGGACTGTTGCCACAGAGACCGGGCTAATGGCACCAGAGGTCTGCCTTGGATGTGTGCAATCCTGCCCCTGCGCTAAGACTGCACTGCCCAATAAAGTAGTGATTGTCTCCGCACCCCCGCTGGGCGCCTAACTGCCAATTTGCTGCCCTAGGGGCCAGGTGCAGATGGACATCGACCTCCAAAGCGTGGACATCAATCAGTGCGCAAGCGGTCCAGGCTGGTACTCCAACACCCACCTGTGTGACCTCAACAGCACTCAGGCAAGGAGGATGGGTCCACTGAGGCCCGCCTTCATTCCCTTTCGACCACCGGCACCGGTCCCACCCTCCATCCCAGCCCCCCAAACCCAGCTCCCAGGAGCAGTCGACAAAGCCACCCTTTCACCTGGTTTTCTCAGGGCTTCAAGAAGGTCCTAATTGATTGTCGAGGTGAAATGACAGGGAGGCCAATGTACAGCCTATCTCATACCTCCCATCTCTCCCAAGAAAGCTACTCCGTATGCCTGGGAAAGCTCAATGTGCCTCCTGTTTGCCCTCGCCTGGTACTCAGCACCCCAGGGTCCCTCTTCAGGAAACTTCTGAGCCTCGCCTGCTTTCCCTTTCCTGGGCTCCACGCTCCACATCAGCACAGCTCTGAGCTCCTCAGGGCATACAGAGGATGCTCCAGTGGTATTCACCCAAGTCAACAGAATTGCTGGTTGGGTGTAGGAGGAGCCTAACCAAAGCTTGAAAAGGTCTGGGGCTGGTGACGGTGACAAATGCTGAGCCACTTCCAGAAATCTGTTCTCAGCCACTGACCTCAGCAGAGTGCTTAACACCCCTGCCCGGCTCTGAGGCCATGTTTTGTCCCCTGCTGAGCAGACTCAATAGGAGGAGGTAGAAAAGAGCGCTAACCTTGGCATCCCACGAGCCTGGCCTTAGCTGAGGAAAGTAATTCGGTGTTAAAGCCAGAACTGTTCTGACAGAGAAAGTTACCCCTCCACAGGGGTCTTTTTGTTGTTATTATTTTGCTTGGTTTTTAGTTTTTGGTTTTTCGAGACAGGGTTTTGCTGTGTAGCCCTGGCTGTCCTGGAACTCCCTCTGTAAAGAAGGCTGGCTTCAAACTTATTGAGATTTACCTGCCTCTGCCTCCCAAGCTACCACTGCCCGGCCATGGGAGTCTTTTTAACTTATCTGTCTTTTTTTTTTAGCAACTTGATTTTTTTTTTAAATTCATATGTGCATTGGTGTGAGGGTACCAGATTCTCTGGAACTGGAGTTCCAGACAGTTATAAGCTGCCATGTGGGTGCTGGGAATTGAACTGAGTCCTCAAGAAGAACAGCCAGTGCTCTCAACCACAGAGTCATTGCTCCAGTCCCTAGCTTACCTGTCTTGATTAGAACTACTGTTGCTGTGGTGGGTCACCATGATGATGGGGAGGAAAGGGTTGATTTCTCTCACAGTTCCATATAACAGTTCATCATCAAAAGCAGTGAAGGCAGGAACTCTAACAGGGCAGGATCCTGGAGATGGGAGCTGCTGCAGAGACCATGGAGGGGTACTGGCTTGCTCATCTTGTGTATAGAACCCAGGACCAAAAGCCCAGGGATGGCCCTACCAACATCAATCACTAATTAAGAAAATGCCCTACAGCTGGATCTTATGGGGGCACTTTCCCAATAGAGGCTCTTATTGCTCCCAATAACTCTAGCTTGTGTCAACTTGATATAAAACTAGCCAACATGACACCTATATGCCAAGTGGGGCAGCTGTGGGAACCCTTTGAAGCAGGGGGTAGGCACATAAGAGGTGTGATTGGGCTGTGAGTTCTCCCTGTCTTTACCTCCCCCAGTACCTAGCCCTAGCAACAGCTAGGCACCAGGAAATGGGACATGAGGCTCCCGTTACTGCCAGCCCGAACAAAAGAGTTATGTATCCCGGTTATGTATTCTGTATTCTTTTCTTGGATACTCCTTGAAAAGACCTAACAGCAGGGAATGGGGACATTTGCAGAGGTGGGGGTGGGAGTGGGTGTCTGGGCAAGAACCTGAGAAAGCTTCTGGTGAAATCTCCTATTGTAAACCCAGAAGTCATGGAGGGAGGGAACTCTTCCCAGCAGGGAAAGCTTTCGGAGAAAAACATCATACAAAACAAATGCCATTTGTCATCCCCACAGTGTGTCCCTCTGGAGAGTCAGGGTTTTGTCCTTGGCCGCTATCTCTGTCGCTGCCGACCTGGATTCTATGGGGCTAGCAGTTCTGGGGGTACGTAAGTGTGGAGAGGGCTAAGCAGAGGTTTTGCTAGCCAAGGGAAGTTGGGATGGAATATCTGTGGGGTTGACACACAGGTATGAGGCAAGTTAGCCTCTGAACAAACCTTAGCCTGGTGTCTTCCTGTTACCATACCCTTACTGGGACACAACCCTTCCCTCTTATTCCTGGGGCCATAAGTTACAGGAGGGCATGTGGCCCTCAGGACCCAAGGCTAGAACCTCAGAAATCCCTAGTCAAGTTCTCTTTACACCCATCTTGTCTTTCGTAGGGTTAGAAGAGAGTGCAACTCAGACTGCTGGGCAATTCGGGTCGCCTCAAGGCAGCTTAGGGAAGCTGCTGAGGTGCCAGCCATGTCCTGAGGGTTGCACTAGCTGTCTGGATGCCACGCCATGCCTGGTGGAGGAGGCCCTAGCACTGAGGACGGCAGTGCTGGCCTGCCAGGCCTGCTGCATGCTGGCTGTCTTCCTGAGTATGCTGGTCGCCTACCGTTGCCGCAGGAGCAAGGCAAGAAGGCCCCCTATCTCTCTTCTATGCACACGTCCAACCCATCTCAAATAAAGCGCCAAGTCTTGGGAGAATGGGTGCCAATCTTGCTTCTACAGCTGAATGTGTGACGTTAGGCAGTGACTTTTCTAGCCCTGTTTCCACCTATTTCTTCATCTGCAACATTGTATTCATTCAGCAAATACTAGTTGAATGTCTGCTCGGAGCAAACTACTACATAGGCACTCTACAACAGAAGTGCTCTGGATTCCCAAGGCATAGAAAGAAGAAGCAGTGAGACAGAGGCAAGGGGGGGGGAGTGGCTTTCAGGTGCCATGGGGGCTCAGAGGAGAGACCCAGTTGTTCTGGAGGAGATGGTGTGGGAGAGAATTTCTAGAAAAAGTGTTACTGGGGCCAGGCTCAAGGGTTCATTGGTTTTATCTGGGCAAAGAAGAGGAATCTTATTCTAGACCAAGGTGCAGTAGGCCCCAAAGCTTGGAAAAATGCCAGAGGCCCTTCCTAGCTCCAGCAACCTTCGCTGTGAGCCCAGCAGGGCCCTTGGTGCAGACATAGGTAGACAGTGCAGTGAGACAGGAGACTGGCTGTGAACAGGGGTGGGGGTAGGTGGAGCTAGTGCTGTTGGAGGAAGCCCAAGGCCGAGTGAGCCTCCAGACAGGCCAGGCTTGGTGTCCTCAGAGCCCTGCTTACACCTTTCTCCCTGGGCTTACAGAGGATCCGGGCATCTGGAATCTTCCTGCTGGAGACCATCCTTTTTGGATCCTTACTTCTCTACTTTCCTGTGAGTCTGTGACCAGTAGCTGACCTTACTTTCTTAGTATCCCCTACTCCCACACTGTCCCCATCCTCCAGAATCCTTTTCTGTCTCTTGGGAAGATTTAGTGACTTTAAATTCTCCTGACCAGCGTGGCAGTGGCACATGCCTTTAATCCCATCACCCAGGAAGCAGAAGCAGGTGGATTTCTGTGAGATCCAGGCCAGCCTGGTCTACAGAGCGAGTTCCAGGACAGTTAAGGCTACACAGAGAAACCCTGTCTCAAAAAACAACAACAACGACAAAAAAGTTAAATTCCCCCCACCTATTCACACAAATGGCATGCTGGTCTAGTAAGCTCTGGAGGCAGACACCCAGATTGAAAAGAATTTTCTGGGGGCTAGAGAGATGGCTCAGAGGTTAAGAGCACTGGCTGCTCTTCCAAAGGTCCTGAGTCAATTCTCAGCAACCACATGGTGGCTCACAACCATCTGTAATGGTGTCTGGTGCCCTCTTCTGGCTTGCAGGCATACACACAGACAGAATATTGTATACATAACAAATAAATAAATATTTTAAAAAAATTCTCAGCAACCAAATGGAGGCTCACAACCATCTTTAATGAGATCTTGCGCCCTCTTCTGGCCTGCAGGCATTCATACAGGTAGAATACTGTATACATAATAAATAAAATTTAAAAAAGAAAGAAACTTCTGACTTGCTGGTGCAATAAGGCAAGTTGCCTACCTCCCCTTCCTGATCCTTAGGCTCCAACAGTGCAAAAGGGAAGTGTGAGGCCCCCCCGCTGTGGGGCTGCTGGGAAGATTAGTCACACACAGGACACAGATGGAGAGGGGAGGAAAGCATAGCAGAGGGCAGCTGTCTCTGTCTCCTGGCCATCAGGTCTTCATCCTGTACTTCAAGCCCAGTGTGTTCCGCTGCATCGCTCTCCGCTGGGTCCGGCTGCTGGGCTTTGCCGTCGTCTATGGGACCATTGTACTGAAGCTGTCTAGGTAGGCCCTTGCCGACCTCGCCACTGGCTACCCAGCTCACTCACCCAGGGAAGTCTTTTGAAGCCAGTCCTTTCCCTGTATCCCCAGCCCAGTCTCGGTCACTCGACTTTCTCCCTCTATGTAACCTTTGGAAAGATCGGGGGGGGGGGGGGGGTAAATATGCGGGGGGCTGGGAAGCAATGGACAGACTTAGGACTCTGGGCTCACACTCTGTCCTCCCGACTTCCCACATGTACCTTACTCCCCTCAGGGTGCTCCAGCTGTTTCTGTCTCGAACAGCCCAGCGAGGCCCACACCCAAGCAGTGGGCAGCTGCTGCAGCGCCTGGGACAGCTCCTGTTGTTGGTATTGGGTTTCTTGGTCCTGTGGACAGCTGGTGTCCTAGAGCCAGGCATCCAGCACACGCCTCTGGTGACCCGAGGCCACACTCCCACCGGCCGCCACTTCTACCTCTGTCACCAAGACCACTGGGACTACATCATGGTTGTGGGTGAGCTGCTTCTTCTTAGCCCAGCCTGCTGCTGGCCCAGGTTGTTGCCTCCATGTTGTTCTTGAGCTGGTTCCCCTGGGTCTGTACTGCCCAACACAGTTGGTTTTGGAGAGGGCTAGCAGGCTGCTGAAATGGTGAGGGCTTCTCTCTCTCTCTCTCTCTCTCTCTCTCTCTCTCTCTCTCTCTCTCTCTTTTTCTCTCTCCCCCCCCCCCCCCAGCTGAAATGCTGCTGCTGTGTGGGGGCAGTTTCCTCTGCTACGCCACCCGGGCTGTCCCCTCAGCCTTCCATGAACCACGCTACATGGGCATCGCCCTGCACAACGAGCTGCTACTCTCTACTGTCTTCCACACGGTCAGGTGAGGGCTGGCCCCCTTCCTAAGACTCCTCCCGCCCTGCCAGTGTTCCCCACCTCCGGGTGAAGGGGTCCATCTAACAGCGATCCTTGCATGGCTGTGATGCCCAGCAGGGTACAGAAGGGCTGCAGATACACCACTCCTCTATCTCATATCTTCTTCAGGAGAGATACCCAATCCACAGGAAGTGTGTCTGGTTCCTAACTGCCTGCCTGTCAGCCCTGAGCAGTTCCCCTTGAGCCTGGACCCCTTCCTTACCCTTTGGCCTTCAGAGTAGCAGGCCTACTGTGTGTTTATGGAACTAGGCCCTGTAGCGGAGGAAGAAGCAAACTACGGGCTATTCCTCATAGAGTCCTGGGCACTGTTCTGTTCTGTAACCTGGACAAGCAAAGGTGGTGGGGTGAAATCATTTAAGAGATCTTCTCAGAATTAATTAATGAGAACCTCGAGATCACACCTCTGATCCAGAGAAGGCAGGAAGGGTGTGGTGTCCTCCTGGCAGAGCACCAGACTGGGCTGGAGCGGACATCTAGTGAGGTGAGGCAGGCAGGCTGCTGCCACCTGCACTCACCACCCTGTCCTATCCGGCCCTTAGGTTTGCGCTGGTTCCTTCCCTGCACCCAGACTGGACCCTTCTCCTCTTCTTCCTCCACACCCATAGTACAGTCACGGCCACGCTGGCTCTGCTCTTCATCCCAAAGGTAAGGTCTTTCCCCTACTGTGTGAGGCAGGCCCTCAGCCCCTTGGTAAAGAACTCTGTGGCCCTGCCACCTCAGCACCCTCTCCACATCAAAAAACGATGAGCATCCCAGGCAAGGACTTGGCTGAGAAAGGAAGCTACTCCCTGCTTCCAGTTCCCATGCAAGCAACATAGAGCTAGGCATACAGGAAGATTTTATTTGGTTTGGGTTTTTTGTTTTGTTGTATACTGTTTTGTGGTTTGTGTTTGGGTATTTTTGTTTTTTGGTTGATTGGTTGTTTTTTGTTTTTGTTTTTGTTTTTGTTTCGTTTTGTTTTGAGACAGGGTTTCTCTGTGTAGCCCTCATTGCCCCAGAACTCGTTCTGTAGAGCTCCTCCTGCCTCTGCCTCTGCCTCCTGAGCACTGGGATTAAAAGCATGTGCCACCATGTCTTGCATCCTTTCAGCCCAGCTGGTAGACTCTGAAGATGTGGGGAGCAGGTTAGAGAGCTGAAGGCCGTGCCTACGGACACTGTGCTGGTCCCTTAGGAAGACGAGGAACAGGGAATAAAATTCTCTGAGACCTTGGATTCCAAATCAGAGAAGGGTGAAGACTCCTGAAGTAGAGACCGAGTAGGTGAGAACAGGAGTAGGCAGGATGCCATCGTGTCTCCCATCCCCCCCCCCATCTTGGCTAGTTCTGGAAGCCAGGGGCGCCTCCCCGAGAGGAGATCTTGGATGAGGTGTATGAAGATGAGCTGGACCTGCAGCGCTCAGGCTCCTACCTCAACAGCAGCATCGCCTCAGCCTGGAGCGAGCGAAGCCTGGACCCAGGGGATATTCGGGTAGGTCCCTCTCCCCCACCCCAGTTCCTTGGATATCAGTGTTTTAAGGTCTGAGCAGGGGAGCACAGCTGGGCTGCCACAGGACTATAAACCACCTTCCCTGATCACATACCATCCACTTGAAAGGAATCCCCAAAACCCAGACGCCCAGGCCCTGAAGGTCCAGGCCCAACCAGGAGTTCATTCTTAATCCCGTGTCCTCATCATTGGGTGGGGCAGACTAGAAAAGCCTCGAGTTCCTAGCAAGATAGGATGGCTAACGACCCTAAGAGTCAGCTGTGGGGTCTAGAAAGTGTCCCCATGCCTGTGTTTCTGCACCTTCTTCGATTTTGTTGTTGTTTGGGTGTTTTTTTTTTTTGTTTTTTGTTTTTTGTTTTTTTTTCATTTGATTGTTTGTTTGAGACAGGGTTTCTCTATGTAGTCCTGGCTGTCCTGGAACTCATTTATAGACCAGGCTAGTCTCCAACTCAGAGGTCTGCCTGCCTCTGCCTCCCAAGTGCTGGGATTAAGGGTGTGCACCACCACACTGGGCACCTCTACATCTTCTATGTGACCCATGTCCACTTCCTTAGAACATCTGAGGAGATTGACAGAACTGGTAGATGAAGACTGTGACATGTCAGTAGCCACGAAACCTTCCCTGCTCTGAATTTCTCCCCAAACAACAACAACCACGACAATAAAACCCCAAAACTGAAGAAGATGCAGAGGCCCAGAGAGGTCAATACAACAGCTTCGAGATACACGTGGGCCAGCAGTCTTAAAGCCAGACCTGTCCTGCACTACAGGCTGATCATTTCCCAGATCACAGTGCTCCAAAGAAGTGAGGGCACCCTGAATCCTCAAGGCTGAGTGGATCCAACTCAGAACCAACTTGGCCCTGGTCTCGCAGGAGTGGAGTGGTGAATTCTGCATTTTAGGCACAGGAAAGAGGGGGCAGCTTGGTGAAGTGATGCCCCAAGGAAAGGAGCAGCACGGTTGGTGGGGGGCCGGGCTCTGTCTCTCAGAGGTGGCTCTGCTGCCCCGCCCCTTCCTTGCAGGACGAGCTGAAGAAGCTCTATGCCCAGCTGGAGGTCTGCAAGACCAAGGAGATGACTGCTAACAACCCCCATCTTCCCAAGAAGCAGAGAAGCTCACGCCAGGGACTGGGGCGCTCTTTCATGAGGTACCTGGCTGAGTTCCCAGAGGCCCTGGCTAAGCAGCACTCCCGGGACTCCGGCTCTCCAGGCCACAGCAGCCTGCCAGGCTCTTCTCGACAGAGGCTTCTCAGCTCCAGCCTTCAAGAAACTGAGAAGCCCCCAGCTCTGCGCAAGACCCGCAGCACGTATGACCACCACAGGGAGTATATCACACCCCTCCTTGACTCCACACTGAGGAGGACCTTGTCCAAGAAGTCCTCGACGTCAGAGGGCCAAGCAGAGGGGCCCCCAGCCCTGGGCTTCAGGTCAGCCAGTGCCCACAACCTGACCGTAGGAGAAAGGCTCCCCAGAGCCAGGCCTATTTCTCTGCAGAAGTCACTTAGTGTTGCGGCTGGCTCCAGGGAAAGGGCTCTGCTTGTGGCCAGTCAGGCCTACCTGGAGGAAACCTATCGACAAGCAAAAGAGAGAGAGGAGAGAAAGAAAGCTGAGGCAGTCGCAGTGAGCCCAGCGCCAAGCCCAGCGCTGAGCCTAGCACGCAGGCCATCTGCCAGGAGGTTGGAGAGGCCTCTAAGGCCTCCTCTGTCAGCCCCACCATCTCCTGCCAAGAGTAGCAGCCTTGACAGTTCTCATACCCCGGGGAGGCCTCAGGAGGAGCCTGGGAGAAGGCTACCTCACCCACCCATCCGGCACCAGGTCTCCACACCCATCTTGGCTCTGTCTGGGGCCTGCCTGGGAGAGCCAAGAATGTTGTCTCCCACTCCAACCTCCACGCTGGCTTCTGTTCTGTTGCCAACCCTGGCCCCACCCTCTACCCCTGTCCTGGCCCCACCCTCTACCCCTGTCCTGGCACCAGTCTCATTGCCCCCCCAAAGCCCGCCCCTACTCACTTTCATCTGCCCCTGGGAGAACGCAGAACTGCCAGGCAAAAAAGAAAATGTGGTCCAGGAAGGTTCCACGGGGTCAGAGCAAAGCAGCCACCTACCTGCCTCAGCTCGGACCAGGATCTGGAGGGCCCTCTCCGTGGCAATGGAGAAAAGGGGGGCTGGAGAGAGTGAGAGGACCACTGAGGATGGACATGTCCAGGGGGAAACCGATGACGTGGACGAGGACAAGCCCAAGGTCTTCTCAAAATCCCACAGCCTCAAGACCCCCCTGCAGCAGGGCTCCGTGCGCAGCCTGGGCCTGGCCATCAAAGCTCTAACCCGTTCTAGGAGCACCTACAAAGAGAAGGAGGGTGGGGAGGACAACCCTGAGACTGAGAAGGGAAAGCCTACAGGGGTGAGCATGGGGGCTCCACCCCGATCTCCCAGGCTAGGCCGGCCCAAGGCAGTGAGCAAACAGGCTGCCCTTAGCCCCTGTGAAGATGAGGAGTCTCTCCAGAACCAACAGAATGCTCACACCAGCAAAATGCTCCATGGCTGTCACAAAGAGGGCAGCAGAGGGCAGGACGATAGGAACAAGAGGGCATCACAGGGCCAAGGGGAGCAAAGAGTTGAGAGAACTGGTAAGCTAGGGCTTGCTACACTGAGGAAAGCTTTTGGGGACAAAAATGCTGAACAAGTGAAGGAATCCTCTGTGGGTGAACAAGAGGCATCCAATACTGCCCTTCAGCCCCTAGGCAGTGCTGACCACAGGGTGGCAGAGGTATGCCCCTGGGAAGTACCTCACTCAGGAATGTCCCAGTCAGAGAGTAGCAACAAGGCCACAGTCTGCCCCTGGGAGGGGACTGAAGGAAACCTTGAGAAGATGCCATCAATACAAGTTCTAAGTCGCTCCTGGGAAGAGAAGGAGAAAGCCCCAGAGGTATCAGAGCCCAGGGGTATGGGTGCCATTACTGGGAGAAAGCCGGAGAGGCTGATCCGGAGCCAGGAGGCAGTGTGTCCTTGGGAAAATGCCGACCCTAGAGGTCTATCTCCACAGTTGGCCCATCGGGATTCTGACAGAACCCAGGGCAAGTCTGCAGTAGTGGGCAGTCCAGAGGGTCTTCCACCTGAGGCTGCCAAGGCTGAGCTGTGCCCCTGGGAACTGAGTGATATAGGGGAGGAGACATTGCCCCAGAGAGTGAAGGAACTCCCTGAAGAAAAGCAGAAATCCCCCAAGAAGGCAGCTCTCTGGAGAGAACAGAATCTGGGCAGAGACCTGGTGTCTCTCTGTCCTTGGGAAAGTACAGATTTTCGGGGTCCCTCAGCAGTCTCCCTTCAAGCCCCAGGAGGCTCAGGGAGTTCGGGCAGTGGTACTGCAGAGGTCTGCCCATGGGAGACCTCTAATGGCAAGAAAGCTGAGGTCTGCCCCTGGGAACTGGAAGCAGGCACAGACACACTGAATCAGGGAGGGGATGGGGAGACCGCCTCTAGAGAGGTATACTTGGGAAAGATGGGGGAGCAAACTGCTAGGGCAAAGGCTTCAGTCCATCCAGGGCAGGAGTCAGTGTGCCCCTGGGAGGACGCAGCCCCTGAGCAGTCCAGCCCACATCCAGACAGCTCCTCCTCCAAGGCTGGTGGGCAGTTCCTAAGCAGTGGGGCCAGCCAGGCCTTGCAAGAGTGTCACCGGGAAGAGCTCAAGTCAGAAGAGAAGCAGGCAAAGCCTTCAACAGCAGAAATCTGTCCCTGGGAAGTAGATGGAAGAACCGGGGACAGGACATCAGAACACACACCAAAAAGAGAATTTCAAAAAGACGGGGAAAAAATACCTGGAAAAGCAAGAATCCAAACATGGGAAAAGACTGGGAGGCAGATCCAAAAGCAGGAAGCGATCTGCCCCTGGGAGAGCACGGACCTTGGTAGCACCCCACAAAAAGACACAGAGAAACCCCAAGCCATTCTCCAGAGGCAAGGCAGTATGGGAGGCAAAGCTGCTGAGATCTGCCCATGGGACATGGGGAAGAGCCTGACGGCTGAGAAGGCCAAGATCTGTCCCTGGGAAGTGGGTGCTGGCGCTGGAGAGGAGAGGACTGTGGGAGCTGGAGCCTCTGCAATCTCTCTGAATGACACAGGCCAGACTTCTGCAGATTCTGGACCCAGGCAGATAGCGGCTACTACTCCAAATAAGTCAGAGAGGCCGAGCCTGGAGAAGGAGATGGTCTGTCCGTGGGACAGTGTGGGCCCAGGGGACTCCTGTCAGCAGCCAGACACTCTGAGCACCGAGAAACCGAAAGATGGGCTCCAGGATGGTGTGATCGCCAGGCCAATAGAGGTGTGTCCCTGGGAAGTAGAGGAAGTTCCTATCAGTGAAAAAGCCAAGATCTGTCCCTGGGATGTAAATGAGGGAACCAAGGTGAAAAGCCTGGAGCGAGAGACAGAGAGTGAGCCAGCGGAGGAAGGACCAAAGGATCTGGAAAAGGCGGCAGCCCAGGTCACCGAGGTCTCAGACTTGCCCAGCTGTCAAGTCGCAGACAGGCAGTCCTCCGAAGCAAGTGACAGGGTGACAGATATGGAAGTCCTGAGGGAAGATCCGAAGACGGGTTCTCTCCCAGAACACACAACCCAAGGAAAAGCTGCAGCTTTGAAACCACAGTTCCCGGTGGATGACAGAGGAACAAGCAAGGAGCTAGCCAGCCCCCAGACACTGGTCAGTGCGGACAGGAGGGTTGCTGAGGTGTGCCCCTGGGATGCTCCTGTCCCAGAACAGAATGAACCTGACAGTGACACCAAGGTTGAGCTCTGTCCCTGGAAGGTGACTGGGAGAATTATGGAGCCACAGACATCAGGACCGGATGAAAAGGAGGACTCTCAAGAGGAACAAGAAAGGGCCCCTGAAAAACCAGAGCACAAAGGGGTGGCAGTTCAGGAAACGCCACAGATCAGTGGCCTTGGGAAGCAGGAAGCTATCTGTCCCGGGGAGAGTCAGGACTTTGGGGTGCAACCAGCCACAGGTGCTTCTGACGGAAGCAAAGGCAGTTCTGAGAGAGTGGGCTCTGTGGGGTCCAGGGTGGCAAAAGTGTGTCCTTGGGAAGTAGAAGAGGTTCCCTCTGCTAAGAATGCAGAGATCTGCCCTGGGGAAACAAGTTCAGGAGCGGTGGTGGAGGGGGCACTGGACCAGGGGCAGGATGGAGAGTCACGGGGAGCTGGAGGGGCTGAAGGATGCTTTTTAGAAGCAGAAGGGACAGTCTACCCCTTGGAAGGCGCAGAATCAGCAGAGCTCTTCCCTGAGGCAGATACCCTGGACACAGACCACTGTCAGGTCAGCCCCCATGGAGCAAGCAGTCCAGGGAAAAGGCCAGCAGAACTATGTCAATGGGAAGTCACAGACCCAGAAGGAAATAAAATCAAGGGCACCATGGCAGATATCTGTCCATGGGAGGAAACCAGAGCTCCAACTGATGGATCTGGCCTCCTGGCTTTACCGACAACCCAGACAGATGTCCCTGCTGCTCCTGAGAACTCACTCTGCCTCTCTGTACACAGACCTTTGGAGAGCTTTGTTCCAGTGAGCAAGAGTGTCCGCCCAGAAGTGAGCAAGCCACCCAGTGCTTTTCTTTTGGAAGGTGTCAGAGAACAAGGACCTTTGGGACTTGAGCCCAGAGCCAAGTCAGCTCCAGAGCCCAGTCTCGAAGAAGTGGAGGCTCCAAAGTCTTCCTCCTTAACTGAAGACCATGGACAAATGGCTTCTGAAACTCAAGATGGAGAACTTAGCCCCCCACCTGCTTATCCTTGGGACTGTGAATGAAACCGCCATAGAGAGGTCAGAGCTCCTTCAGGACACGTCCCACATGCCGGTTCCCAAAGAGCTGATTCAAAGACTACAGACACTTGGCTACTCCTCTCCCCAAGAGGCCAGAAGGCAATTCATTCAAAAGGAACTGTACAAGAGGGGTGCAGTTTGAACCCTAAGGGACAGCCCATCCTCTCTATTCTCTTTCTGTTTGAGGAAACAAAAGCTGGATCCTCCCCTTCCAAAGAACCCTGCCATTTGTCCAGTGTACCTGACCCAAGCCATTCAAGTCTGAACTCTCACTTAAATGAAGCTTACCGAAGGCAGCAAAGAACTAAGCCACACAAGGCAGTGGCGATTGGGAAACTGGGTGAGAGAAGGCTGTACAGCCACGTAATTCAGGATGAAATGCAGGGCTAGAATATGGCTCAGTGGTTAGGAGCATTCACTGCTCCTGCATAGGACCTAGGTTTTGTTCTCAACACCCAGTCAAGTGGCTTACAACCACAGTAACTCCAGCTCTAGGGTATTCCTCCAGTTTCTTCTTCTGGTCTCTGAGGTCACCTACATTCAGGTGCACATATCCCCACATAGACAGACAGATAAACATACACACAAATTAAAAAAAATTATTTAAAAGATGAAAGATAAACTGGGCAGTGGTGGTGCACGCCTTTAATCCCAACACTCAGGGAAGCAGAGGCAGGCGGATCTCTGTGAGTTCAACGCCAGCCTGGTCTACAAGAGCTAGTTCCAGTTCCAAGACAGGATCCAAAGTTACAGACAGAGAAACCCTGTCACACACACACAAAAAAAAGATAAATCAAAGGAAAAACAAAGACAAAATATGTGCCTGACTGACCTAGACCATCTTCCCTGACACATGGTTCCATGGAGCCCAGGTTTGTCTAAGGCTGACCTTAATCTTCTGATCCTCCTGTATCAACACTACCTGAGTTCCCGGATGACAGGGCTGCATCACTATGCCCAGCGTACTCAGTGGTGGCAACTGAACCCAGAGCTTCCTGTATGCAAGGCAAGCCCTGTCACCTGAACTATATCCCCAGCCCAGCCTTTGTGTTTCTGTGGGAATGTGTGGTGCTGGGAAGTGAACCCTGGTCCTCAGGAATATTAGGCAAGCACCATACTAATAAGTCACACCCCCAGCTCAAGGGCCTTGTCTTTTGACTCAAATCTCCTAGTTCTACTTTGTTGTCTCTCATATGTGCCCTGACTGACGGCTGAAGTCACAACAATCAGACACGCTGACATCTGTCACAGCTGGTGTCCACAGTGACAGCACAGGACAGAGACACTTTCTCGGGGTCCTCCCCACACTGGACAAGGCGCTCTCCCCTCCAGGTATTCCGGGTATCCTCAGTAAGCCTCCTGCTGGCTTTTTCAGCCATCTCCTGCCCTGCTGTCTCTTATCCTCTGCACAGCTTGCCACACTGCCTCCTTCTCCGCTAGTCTTTCTCTAGTCAGCAACAGGGCCCCTCTGTAGTGAATGCAGGGGAGCATTTACTACAAGGGGAGATCTCTGGTTCTCAAGTGAACCACTCTGGCTCGCTTGCGCTCCTTCCCAGAGCAGCCTGGGAAAGAAAAGAGGTCCTGTTCACAGTCAGAATTCCAACTGCTACCTTCAGAAGGAGCAGCGCTCCTGGACGAGTGAGAAGCCCGGGGGCTGGGCAAGGCACCAGGTGAACAAAAGCTCCTTCTCAAGGGTCCACTCTGCCTTGGCTCTCTTCTCAAGCGTCACTCAGGCTACCCTGCTTGAGCAGCGTGAGATAACAGAGGGTTGCAGCTACATGATATCACCAGAGGGAAACTAGGAAGGAGAAAGACGTGTAAAGAGAGCGAGACGACGGGGTGCAGCCAGGCAGAGTAATGCAGCAGAGCTGGCTACACTTAAGACAACAACACAGATCGAGACGCTGCTCAAGAGGTGGGAAACCCCAAGTGAGATCAAATGCCCAGGGAGCAAACCAGGAGTCTATGCGCAAATGTCGCACAGAAGCGGCTGAGTACTCCCTTTCCAAAAGGGAGCAGAGGAACAGTCACCTACTCTCAGACTTGGGGGGCCAGCTGTCCTCATTCCCACACGGAGCCCTCCTAGCCACCCAGACCTCCTGCGCTGGATTTCTATAGCAGTAGGTTGTTCTGGGCTATGTCTACTTAACCCACAACTTCTGAGCTACGGTAGACTTGGCTAACTGTGCACCCCAGGGCAATCCCACTGGGTCTGGTCTAGCTGAAAGGTGGTCTATCTCCGCATTCGCTGTTATAATAGCCATCCGGGAAAATAATAAAGACTGCTTGTTCCCAGCTACCGTACTCGGCACCTGTTTATTTATAATGGTAGTTTTCTTTGTCGACAGAGACAGCAGATGAGAGAACAGGGCCTGCTCCAACTGTGCCGGGTAGGGTTTTGGGTGGTCCGGCTTATCCTCTCCCAGTGCCCAGAATCACAGCTAACAGATGCTCTCTGCCTGGTTCTCCTAGCCAACCCTGCACATCTGGGGCCATTTGCTCAGCTGGATTGGATCCCAGAGGATATGAAAATTGCACTTATCCCCTGGCCTCCTGGTGGCAGCTATTGCTTAGCTGCGATTTAAGATTATCTAGAGACCCTGAGTCAGATCCATGGCAATGGGATGAAATAGCTTATCTGAATCACTGTTTTTCGTAAATTCAAAAGACATCAATGTAACATTTGCCTACTAAGTGTGTTTTTTTGTTTCTCCACTACTCTTCCCTGCTGGGATTATCTCCAGTCCTTCACACTCTCCGGTTAGGGATCTGGCTCAAGCACTTCTTATTTTGCCTTAATCCAGGGCTCAGGCAAACAGGATGTGCCCAACCCCCACCTGAACAGCGATGCTGCAAACCGACGTACATTTTAAGCCCAGAGGGCTGAGAGCAAACAGCATGAGATTGGCCGCCAGTGCTCTTTTCCAGAAGCATAGACCCAGGTCTGTGTCCACAGTCCACACGCACGGGCCCTTAGAAAAACAGCAGTCTTTTTGGGTCAGTGAGGTGGCTCGTGGGTAAAAGCATTTGTCATGCAAACTTGACCCAAGTTCAATTCCTAGAATCCACATTAGAAGGCAAAAGTTATCCTCTGGCCTCTATCTGAAAGCTGTACCAACGACACCATTCCCACTCAAACACTCTCTCACACACATAATGAATAAATAGTAACACACATAATGAATAAATAGTAAGGCCTGTCCTGTCTGCAGCTTTGCTCAAAGGGCAGGCTTAGAGAGACCAGAGCTAGGTCACTAATTGCCGACCCAATTCCAGTTTCTTTTCACCCTAATCTAGACACAGTCAGACCAGATTACTTTTGACTTTAAGTGACAAAGAAAATCTCGGTCTTGAGAAGATCAAGTCTGAGAACTTAGGCTCTCATTTTTCCTGTGTGCAGAAAAATTTGTTTAATACACCTGCTTCAGTAAGTGAAGACTTAGATCCAATTCCTAGCATCTACGTGGTGGTTTACCACCATCCATAACTCATGTTCTGGGGAATCCAACTCCTTCTGACCTCCAGGGGCATCAGGCATGTAGTGCACAACATACATGCAGACAGGACACTCATACATGTAAAATTAAGTAACACCCTATTTTTTTTGTCGTTGTTCTTGAGACACGATCTCAGGTAGCCCAGGCTGACTCTAAATGGATGCATAGCCAGGGATGACATTGAGCTTCTGTCCTCCTCTTGCCTCAGCAATGGGATTACAGAGATACCCTGGTTTATAAACACAAAGTACTCTTTCTGGTCGCGAGCCCCCGGAAGTTACGTCACTCATAACTCTGGGTTCTGCTTCTGACATTATGGAACTGCTCTATTTCCAGTCTGAACCGGGGCAAAAGTACAAAACCACAATTTGTTCAACACTTTCATAGTATTTTATTTCAAATGCTGGTCTCTGCCGTGTACAGAAAAGAGCACGCTGTCGGCCCACCCGCAGTTCCTGCCGTGAGAAGCCCAGTGTCACATGTTCTCACACACGCCGCTTTTCATGTCACCTGGAGGTGAGCATGCGCCACGTCTGGATCCCAGCCATCTACCCAGCTGGATATCAGCCGCAACTGCAAGGGGGAGGGTCTTCTGAAAAGACCCAGGCAGAGGAGAGAGCAAGGGAGGCCTACAGGATGTAGGTGGTTTTGCAGCCCCATCATCCGGTCAGCCCTCAGGAGTCTTTTCGTTGTTTGTTGCTGTTTTTTGAGACAGGGTTTCTCTAGGTAGCCTTGGCTATCCGGGAACTCTGTAGGCCAGGCTGGATGCAAACTCACAGAGATCGCCTGTGTCTGCCAACTGAGTGTTGGGATTAAAGGCGTGTACCACCACCGCCAGGCTCCTCGGGAGTCATTTATGCCATTAGGCAAGCTGAGGCTTATGGGCCTCTCCTTGTGTCTCTTCATACACCTCCCACGGGTTCAGCTCAGGACTGGGAATCATCAATGTCTGAAAGAACAAGAGGCTGAGTTACCTACCAATCAAGTCTGCTGTTAACCCAGAATCACTTCACTCCCTCGCCTAGCAGCCAGGAAAAATTCCCCTTCCTAGTGCTGCTTCTTTCTTTCTCTCCACTAGGTGGAGCCCATGAGGAGAGTTTTAGGCAGTCAAGACAACATACAGCCTCAAGTCTCAAAGCATGCAAGCAGCCTTACCTTGAGGATGGGCTGCTTAGGGGGTGCCCATGGGGGAACAATCTTGGCATGCATTCTCCAGCTCCCATACGGATTCATCAAGTGTCTTTCAAACACCACATACTCCAGGACATCCTTGGGCACATCTTCCTGCCCATACATCAACCGGCCAAACCGATCATAGATGGCCAAAGTCTGTAATGATGAAATAAATTCCGGCCTGTCAGGATTTTGTTCTATTTTTGTCATACAACCATTTTTAAAACAATCCTAACAAAAAATTTTTAAATTAATGAAAATTAAAATTATTTCAGAATTCTGAACTTGGAACTAATCATTGTTGATATACTACTGTTCGGGAAGGTGGGAAACCAACAGCGGTCTCACACCACACCCGAGTGTAGATACCACTCAGTAGTGGCGAGAGGCCAGCAAACTTTTCCTGAGAACCTACAGTCCTGGGCCAAGGGGTGGAACATGGTGGTGTGAGCATATTCCTAGTACCCATGAGGCTCTGGGTTCAACCCCCAGAACCACGAAAAACAAACAGCCCTGAACTCAATAGTCCAGAAACAGATGCCCTACATGAGAATTGCAGTGATGAAATTTAATAAAAATAACTCTTGCATTCAAAGAGACTGAATGTTTTTGCTGGACCCCTGGCCCTTGGGGTCACTTAAGACTGAGCTTGCTGGCACATGGTGTTGTCAGCTTGTCTGCATTTAAGTCACCATTAAGAGAACAATATAATGTCTTGACCTTCCCGTGCTTTCCCAACCTAGCTGAGACACAGTTCTGGACTCCTCCGTGCCCTCACAGCAGAGCAGTGTGTGTGTGTGCTGTAGTAAGGATTGGCTCAAGCAGCTGACATCCCCTTGATAACATTTCTGCAGGACTGTTGACTTTTTTGAGTGCTTTAGGGTCAGCTGGGGTCAGCAAAATTTGATCCCTTATAAAAAACTCTGCTAAAGATTTCTGTCCAGACTCCATCATCCCTTTTCCATACCCTGTTTTCTGTGCTATTCAATAAAGACAGAGGAAAGTCCTTTGTTAGGTACACAGTGGCAGTTGGATATCAGATGGCATCCAGGCAGGCACAGACACATTCAAGAGATGGGCTGTGGGTAGGCCAGAACCACAGAATACACACAGGAGGTAGAGGAGTGGAGAATTCAAACTTGGGCTCACTCCTGGTCAAACCGCTCCAAGAGGAAGTCTGATATTCATTCCTTAAAGCAACACTGATGCACGCTGGTGTCTCTGAGGTTATTATTAATGTACTTAACACGGAGTGAATAAAAGAGCCACTCTACCTGCCGAGTGTGCAGGCGGACAGTGACCTGACCATATATGTTGCTCTGGTCCACCATGCTTGAAGAGCGAACATGAACCACTTGGGCTGGCTCTAAAGATTCCACAAAGCTCCAGCGGACAGTCTTGTACTTGAGGTCCCAGACCATGTCCTGAGGGCAGAAGAGAAAAGTTCACGAGATTTCCCTTCTGCAAGGTGCTGCTGAGACTACAAATGCAACCCTGCAGTCAACAGGCAGTGCAGTCCATGCTCCGACCCCATTTTAGGGGTGGGAATGGGGGTTGAGACAGGGACACATTCTGTAACCCGGGCAGTAATGCTAATTCAATCTTTCAAGTGCTAGAATTATAGCTGGGTGGTGACGACACATGTCTTTTAATCTCAGCACTCGGAAGGTAGAGGCAGGTGATCAGCAGACGAACGTGCCTCTGCTTCTCAAGGTGTGCGCCATCACCGCCCAGCATTTCCTGAGTTTGATCAAGTTTTGGTCATACTTGCCTCCCAACAACATTTTTTTTTAAACTACTCAATCCATGGGGCTGGAGAGATGGCTCAGCGGTTGGGAGCACTGCCTGCTCTTCCAGAGGCCCTGAGTTCAATTCCCAGCAACCACATGGTGGCTCACAACCATCTGTAATGAGGTCTGGTGCCCTCTTCTGGCCTGAAGGCATACACATAGACAGAATATTGTATATATAATAAATAAATATTTAAAAAAAAAAAAAAAACTACTCAATCCACCAAGGCTGAAGAGATAGCTCAGTGATTAAGAGCACTGACTGCTCTTATAGAGGAGTTGGGTTCAATTCCCAGAAACCACATGGTAGCTCACAACTCTCTGTAACCTCAGTTCCAGGGGACCCAACACCTATGACCCAACACCAATCACATTAAGAAAGAAAGAAAAAAAAAAAGACCCATCCACCTCTAAGAGGTCTCTTCTCCAAATCACTAAAAATTCCCGCTGCACACACCACTGCATGTACCATCACTGCACACACCACTCCATGCACCGCCAGTGCACACACCATTCCACACACCACCACCGCACACACCGCCACTGCACACACCGCCACTGCACACACCAAACTACTGCACACATCACTTCCTCTCACACACTGCTAATTACTACATGCACTTCTTTTTTTTTTTTTTTTAAAGATTTATTTATTTACTGTGTATACATTATTCTGCCTGCACACCAGAAGAGGGCAACAGATCCTCATTACAGATGGTTGTGAGCCACCCTGTGGTTGCTGGGAATTGAACTCAGGACCTCTGGAAGAACAGCCAGTGCTCTTAACCTCTGAGCCACCTTTCCAGGCCCTGCTACGTGTACTTCTATTGATAGTGCAGGTTTTTCTCTCTTTTATTTTCATTTTACCCCTGCACATTTCAGCAATGAAAGGAGTGTTTTCCAGAGCTATCAGGGCTAGGATAGATGAGAAACACTTGCACATAAAAATAAATAAATGAACCTACCGGAAAACAGTGTTCAGTTACCAAAGCATGAAGCCGGTCATGGTCTGAGCTAGAAAAGAAAAACATATATTTATCATTGACTCCAACTTTTACGCTACCCTCTATGAAACCTGATAATGGGCTGGTAAGATGGCTCAGTGGGTAAGGGCTTACCACAAAGCCTGCCTGAAAAGCTGAGTTCAATTCCCAGAATCCACATGAAAAGTACT